GAGTAGTTAGATTCCAATCTTGTATAGTTTAGCGACTCTTGATTTGTAAGCGAACTTCACTTCAATAAAATAGTCCGTCGTTTCCTTTGTCAAGGAAAGTGTTAATTTATTTTAATTTATTTTAATTTATTTTGAGTGTCTGAATTTTGGTCTCCGAGATATTCCAACATCGGTCGAACTAGTAATGTCTGGCTTATGGAATGTCCGTTCCCTTCTTTCTTTCTCAATTCAGTGAATCCATTCGAGCCGACTTGTATAGGCGCTATATAAATCATATTATGTTATTATCATTATTATAATAATTTTGACTTCGTTTCTTTTTCAGGAGTTTACTAAATTTATCTTTATGTCGTTTCAGAATAAATACCTAGGCATTACACTTTCAATCTGAGCTGYTCTACTCTACCAATTTTCTTTCAAACTATGGATTTTTGCAGGCCATTGAAGTTATAATTCAGAGAACATATCTTTGCTTTTTTGGCAAATTTTTTTTCACCTCCAAATCTAACTTAGGCTGTGAATTTTGATAACTTATTAAAACATTTTTTTTCTTTTTTCTATWTCTAATTTTAGAAGAGAGAATTTGTCCATACATTCCATGCAGTAGTACCGAGAAGATGTTGTTGTAATCCTCTGCTGAGCTGTTGTGTACGGTTCTCCCTGCTGCTGCCARTGTAACATAACAACTGAATAGAAAACTTTGATTAAAGTCCTGATGTATATAAAAAAATCTTCTTGATAAAGATGATTTTTCTTCTATATTCTTATAGGTTTTTCCCTATCACAAAGTGAAAATCCAGCTCTCGTACCAGATCGAATGAGACACGAAGCAGTTCAGTGATTTCAAGATAAATCCTGTCACTATCTTTCCAGTACTTGACGTATGATCCTATCTATATTTGCAGTTGAGCAYTGACTTTGATTTTCTTAACCGTCGACACTCCATACTTATTAATTTTTACTTAATAAAGATRATTATTCTTCTATATTCTTAGGTTTTTCCCTATTACAAAGTGACAATCCAGCCCTCGTACCAGACAGAATGATACACAAAGCAGTACAGTGATTTCAAGATATATCCTGTCACTATCTTTCCAGTACTTGACGTATCTATATTTGCAGTTGAGCATTGAATTTGATTTTCTTAACCGTCGACAATCCATACTTATTAGTTTTTGGTTTTCATTTTCATCTTTTTACAGGTCGACTTGCACTGACATATACGTCCTAGAAGAATTGAACCGAATCTTCACTTCGGTAAAATCACTATGGCTTTTCCTTGTCGATCTTTGCCGATCTTCACGATCCATKGTCAATCCTAATTTTATGTTTTGGCTCTTACAGATTCACTTCATGATGGGATCGTCTTCATATTTACAACTGACCTATGGCAATTACCATCAAAGGAGATTTCTATGTTATTATACATTTGAAACTATTATGCCTATTTAAAACCGAACTGAGCTCTAARCAAAGTCGAGTATAAACTCCGGACTAAGTAAATTATCTAACTAGACCAAACTGAACCCAAGCAAAAATATCTAAACCAAACTTGAACCCTAAACCCATAATCCTTGTAAAACTTCAACTGAACATTTAAACTAAAACCAAACTTGAACCCTAAACCCATAATCCTAAACTTAAAACTTTAACTGAATGTTTAAGCTAAAACCAATTACTTGAACCCTAAACCCATAATCCTAAACTTAAAACTTTAACTGAACATTAAAACTAAAACCAAACTGAATCAGCCTAAACCTGATTTAAAGCAAAGTTATTGAACTAAACTCTAAATTCAAGCCAAACTCTAAACCAATAACTAAACTGAATTCCAGATAAGCTAAAATTAAAAAAAAAACTCATAACAAATAAAAAACAAAAACAAACTTAAACAAAAAGCTAAACTAAAAATTCAACAATAAACCAAACTCTAAACTCAAAGGAACTCTAATCAAATCTAATCTAAACAGAACTGAACCCAACCTAAACCTAAACTAAACTCTAAACCAATAACTAAACTGAATCCCAGATAAGATTTAAAAAATGAAACACATGAAAAATAACAAACAAAACAAACTTAAACAAAAAGCTTAAACCAAACCGAATTAAAAATCTAACAATAAAACAAACTGTAAACTCCTTAAACGAACTCTAATCTAATCCTAATCCAATCTAATCTAATCTAAACAGAACTGAACCAACCTAAACCTATACCGAACCTTTAAACTAAAACTTTAACTGCTTAAACYAAAAATTTAACTATTAACTATAATACTATAAAGCAATAAACCAAACTAAACTACACTCCGSCTAAACAAATAACAAAACTCAAACTCCAAAAACTATAAAACACGTAAATATAATATGATGTAAACTAACCTACGACCTTCATTACACCAGTATCTTGTTGTTGTTGTCGTTCTTTTTTCAGTYTCGTTTCAGGTTCTTWGTCTTCCATCATCGAGGATCATGGYGGAYCTACACATACTATGGCCTCTARCAACCCAAAACATTTTRTTATTTTGATRCTAAGTTATTTCATTAGAGTATAGAATGTTGTCTTGTAACTAGTTAGTTTTAAAACAAAAGCAATAAAGCGAGTTCAATAAAAAAAATGATAATGTATTATTCGGAAATAAAAAAATTCAAGTGAAGTGCAACAAGAGTCTTGTCATTGTTTTGGTGATGTTTCATATTTACTTATTTCAATAAAGTTAGTCTCCAAATTAAACCTAGAAATCTGTGATCACTGAGGATCATGGCTGAACTTTTATGTCAAACGAGTAAAGTTTTTGATACAAACTGCAGCTTGAGAATGCTCAGAAGAGGTGAGACTGTGAATGGTAGAAGATGTGATCGAGTCCATTAACAGTAATCAAGCGGTTGAAACATGTAAAAGGTATCTACCCATAATCCTAGTCGGTCACACCTTTGTAGCTTTTCAGGTGACTAACTTTATTGAAATAAGTATTCTCTAATTTCACATCCCGATAATACTTTGCGTCATTGGGGGTAACCAGAGAGTAAAAACCCACTTATTTTGCTGAAGCCTGATAAGGCAATGCTGACAATACCTTGATTGGTATCCAAAAATAAAATGAAGAAGTAAAAACATAAAAAGATAGAAGCTTGAAGAAGGTAAATTTTAAACATTTTTTCGTAAGTCGATGCATTTTCTGTAAGACCAAAACTCTTGATGATCTRTACACGCAAAAATAACTTTGAATAAACTGATAATCAGTATTGTACAGAYAAAAGCAGGTATAGTATAAATTCAATTAAGAAACATTTCAATTTGGGACAGTTTTTTGATTGGTTACCCCCCAAAGACGCAAGGCATTATGGGGATGTGAAAGTAGAGAATATACTGATTGTCTATGAGGTTGATTTTACTCAAMCCGTTCTCTGCCGGTGGATGASCAGCTGTTATCACTTTCCCAGAACAGTGAGATCTGTTGGTTGAAGCGCAGTTGTTAATTATTGCTCTCGAAGAAGATGTAGCGCAGTAGGTGGATGCGAAATTGCAAGTTATGACTTCCAAGGACAGAAGGGGCATTGGGTACATGCTTCGATCGCTATTCATTAATTTTCGAAGTAGAAAGGATGCAGTGGGTAGATGCGTTAGATTACATTTCAAGGAGAGGGTGATCAGTGGTTTAATGAGAAGTTTTTAGTCATCAGTTTTGAAGCAAGGATATGGGACATAGAGAGGGGATGTGCAAATATTATTAATAACTTTCTGGTCGGATTCGCAAATGTTATTTATCACTTTCCAAAGACAGTGTGTGCAATGAATGGATGCGCAGTTGTTACTTATCACTTTCCAAGGAAAGGGGGTGCAGTGGGTGGATGTGCAGTCGTTAGCTATCACTTTCCTAGGACAGCGGGTGTAGTGGGTGGATGCGCAGTTTTTAGTTATCACTTTCCTAGGACAGGGGGTGCAGTGGGTGGATGCGCAGTTGTTAGCTATCACTTTCCTAGGATAGGAGGTGCAGTGGGTGGATGCGCAGTTGTTAGTTATCACTTTCCAAGGAGAGGAGGTGCATTGGGTGGATGCGCAGTTGTTAGTTATCACTTTCCAAGGAGAGGGGGTGCAGTGGGTGGATGCGCAGTTGTTAGTTATCACTTTCCAAGGAGAGAAGTGCAGGGGGTGGATGCGCAGTTGTTACTTATCAGTTTCCAAGGAGAGGGGGTGCAGTGGGTGGATGCGCAGTTGTTAGCTATCACTTTCCTAGGACAGGGGGTGCAGTGGGTGGATGCGCAGTGGTTAGCTATCTTTTCTTTTTAGGACAGGGCGTGCAGTGGGTGGATGTGCAGTTGTTACTTATCACTTTCCAAGGACAGGATGTGTAGTGGGTGGATTCGCAGTTGTTAGTTATCACTTTCCTAGGACAGGGCGTGCATTGGGTGGATGCGCAGTTGTTAGTTATCACTTCACAAGGTCTGGGTGTGCAGCGGATGTACGGGCAGTTGTTACTTTTTGACTCCTCGAAGATGGTGTGCAGTGGTTAGATGCAATAAGAAGGGGTTTAGTGTGTAGCTGCTTTTTTTAGTGTGCATTGAAAACAAGGGATGTTCGGGAAGAAAGATACTGGAAGATATACTTATAAGAAAAATATAGTTTATTTCTAAAAAAGTTGTTAAATATAAAAGTGTTACAATCTGTGTTTCAGATACTCGAAGATATGTATGACATACAATAATATATAAAAACATGCTTTGTCGTATCCTTTTTTGTATTCCATAATTACAGAATAAAACTGATTTCAAATTTAGCCTTAACTACCAAATACTTGCTCTGTTCATGAGGCAAGTCGCCATGAGGCAAGTCGCGTGAACGGTTGGTTTGCTTTGTGATTCTGGGGACGAGGCGTACTTTTGTATATTGTGCGGCTGAGTAATTAGTATACACGATGTTGCGATGGAAATTTCACTTATTTTGTCCCCGCAACCTTGCGCACGAATTTAAAAGCGTTTGATAGAGCAAAGGCATTTAACTCGTGAAATACAAAATACTAATCAACGTGTCAAAAAGACACAAAAGAAAACAATGGAATTAGGGTCTACTAAAGTGTATTAGTCTAACATATATCTCACGGGTTTAATGACTACACTCTATCTTGCAACTTTTCGCAGGGGCAAAATGCTTTCTCTGCGAAAATTAATCTTAAAATTATCACGTCAAGGAAATATACCTCTTTAGGTTTGGAGAAATGTTTTACTTTTTCAGACCACTTGCCGTTATTTTGAAAATGAAAATTCTTTGTTTGAATTGTATTAAATTTGAATTGGCAGTAATGTTTTTGGCCCTTTTCAGGTCATGTGTTATTCTCTTCTACGTTTGAATTTTACATATACTCTTGTGTTTTCTATTGCGAAACCATTATGCCCARGGTAAAGAAGTCCCAGCATCGTGTCTCAGAGATTTGTCATTAAATGAAGATCCTCACTTCAACACTTCTTAGCACTTTCTTACTCGCAAAATTCAAMCACCAAGCATTCGATAAAGCTTTTAAAGATGAAGGCGAATATGGAATATGAGTCAGAATTTCTTCTCGACTGAAAAGTCCTTTATCTAGGTGATAGCTAATGTGGAAATTGGCTTGGTTTCCATGCATATTATGAAATAATCCAGAGTCGGCCACTCTTTTTCATGATTCCTCAAGCATGCTCAATAATTTTTGGTGAAGTCAATACAATGTATAAGATATGTTTCAATGAAAAAATTATGTATAGCTATAAATCTTAATAGAGCAGATTTCGTATGACTGTGAAAAAAGTCAGTGCCATATGCGTGCTTTGGCGATTTTTTTTCTCTCTCGCGCAATAGCAGTTCCGTGACCTTGGCGTGACCGTGATCGCGCCGTTTCTCGGACATTTGATTGGATGAAGRGTAAATTCTTCTTGTGCAATGTGATGGGTCTGGATTAGAAAGCTGCTCTATCTATCGCTAATAAGATCGACAACAGACCGCGGTACAGACGTAATCTGATGTCGGATTACCTGCCATTCCTTTAGCTATTTGCACATTCATGTATTTTCTCATTCATGTATTTTCTCAAGCATGGCATAAGAAAAGAAACAATAACCAAGGGAATGACACGTGGCTAAAATTTTTGTTAGTTTATGTATATGTTAGTATAAGTTTTTTTGCAATTAATTGGTTCAACTTCAAACATGATCATTGATTTTCCGTCAATACACATTGGTAGTAAATCGCAATTCCCTCGTCAGATACGTCGGGGATAATTGCAGTACGTTCTCTTTGGAATTATATTATTTGATATCTTATCATAACTTATCCATAGGTCTTTGAATGAWGATTCTTCGTAAACAAATCGATAATTGATCGCGGATACATTTTTATCGTCGCATATACGTCGGAAGTACATCGGGTTTATTTATACGATCGTCGATATGAGGTTAGTTTTTAGTCAAGTGTCGTGCTAATGCGACGGGATTACTTCGATATGACGTCGCTTGCACGTTGATATCACTTGCAATATCACTAATTCTCGACAATGATTTCCCCATCAAATCACATGTCCTTTACTACTATATATAGTGGGAGATCATTTTGCGCAGTTTATCTGCTTGGCATCTCACGTGGTTTGACGTTAATGCGAACACCAGACTTGCTTCTTAACACGAGCTCTGGAAACAGATCCATATCATCGACCATGTCTTCGGGGTCAACAGACAAGTCAAACCTGTTTTTTTGAAAAATAATCAATGTTACGAAGTAGCGTAATGTTTCGAATATTTCTTGATTATGTGAACTGACATATAAATATAATTCATTCAGAAAGTGTTTTCCCATTTCAGAACATTATCTGATTCTCTTGATTAAGAAATTGTTTATTCGAGTYTAATTTATATAAATGATTTTACTTTAGCACTACTTATCAGTGGTAATAATAACATCTTTATTAAGTATCAAGCTTGCAAATCGTAAACGGAATTGGATAACAAAGGAGAAAGAAATAATTGTGAATTAAGAAAGAGAAGGGATGGTGAAGGGATTGTCATTTCTTCTGAAATGGGAAAACAATGGGTTGATTTGCTTCATCATAAGTCAAGTATTTAAAGCAGAATATGATTTTTACAGAATCACTAGAAAAGGTAAAGGAAGAGTACTTGAACTTACTTTTGCAAAATCATGACAACGGTTGTCTTGATTTCTTCGAGACCAAAATTCTTGCCAATGCAAATACTGAATAAGAAAAAGACAAAAACTAATTAATAAAGTGGAATAGGCTCATGAAAGAAGAAAAGCTATTGAACGCGAATCGTTTACAAAATTCAGCGAGAAAAGATATGATGACATAAGCATGCAGAAAGACTTGGGGTGCAAGACTTCCAAAACGAAGTGAATCAAGAAAGGTATGTTTGATGCTTTTAAAGAAATAGCGAATGGGAATTCAAGTTTTCTTTGCAAAGCTCTCTCAAAACGGAGCCGGACATGTTTCATGTGCGCGCAAAGAATTCGCATACTGAATATAATCATAAAGTATTAGAAGACCTCATAGTCAGTGTTACAGAGGTCACTTAGACAGTCATCAAAATACTTYCTATTCGCTTGTTATCGTATTCTTTTCGTCATCAGCACTGATAAAGCACTGTTGATACACCCTTTGGCAGTTTGTCCAGCCGTGGGTTATTACTGAACTAAACGAGTCATATGGAATAATTTGGTCGTGAAAGGGCGTTAAATGAAATACTTGAACTGTAGTAAGAAGGCGTGGATTACACTGTACAGAGTATATTGATGGAACAAACATATGTACTGTGATAGTTGTAATCATTCTGAACAAAGTAAAAGCAGAAAATCAGAAAAAGAAAGAGGACAACGAGGAGAGGTAGCTAGTCAGAAGAAGGAGAAGGAAAAGGAGAGAAGGAGAAGCAGAAAATTAGGAAAAGGTAGAGGATGAGGAGTTGGAGAGGTAGCTAGTCAGAAGAAGGAGAATGACATGGAGAAGGAGAGGGATCGATATAGAAAAAACTATTTTATTTTTGTCTTAAATTCGAACTAAAATAGAGGCTTTTCATTTTACACTATTCATTATTGATCTTTTTGGATAGGTAGTATGCGACAGCTTTACATATCCTTACCGTGGTCCAGCAGAGAATGGAGTGAAAGCATACGGCGAACGAGCTTTACAATTTTCAGGCAGGAAACGATCTGGATTGAATTCCTGTAAACAATTACAATCATAAATCATAAATCACTAATGTTGTTTCCAAAACGTGAGATTTTTAACTTAGAAAACAAACTATTATCTATATCATCATGATATCATGTGCAAAGAAGATATTGTTTAGTCGATAGAAAGGCTCAAGAGAATAATATTAATTTTTCCTAATCGATATTCCTTGCCAATGATTTGACATTGCACAAAGCCTGTTGTATGTTGTTGTTATTATTTTCTATTGTACCGTAAGTTTTGTTTGTTTGAGTTTGTTTTGGTATGTGATGTCATGAAATAGTGTCATTTACAAATCAAATTAAACAAACTTATTTATTTCATTTCTTACATTGGGATTCTCCCACACGTGAGGGTTTCGGTGTATTGCGTAAATATTTGCAAGGACAAATGTCCCTGAAATTAAAGATAAAAAATGTAAGTAAAAATAAGGATCAATTTCTTGTAAATGCGCTTTTGAATGATTTGAGCATTAGAGTGCACACCATATATCCAGTAAAACCTTTTTGAGAAATCGCACAAAATTGCACAAATTAGTAAGTTCAGTAGATCTCAGTTAACCTCAGGCCTACGAAACTTAGCACTAATTTTGTACGATTTTGTCAGTTAACGTCATTTTCACGGATGTATGATGTGAACTCTATTAAACCTACACTAAAAAGGCACAAACATACATTGAACTGGTATTTTCTGCTTTCCTTTTTTTTTGACCAGGGCAATATCCTTTTACAATGTCTATCAACATATCAAATTGCAAAGGAAGTTGCGCGTGTCCAAACCCGCAGCAATTTGCCGCCATGTTGGTTGACATGGATCCTGGGCTCCAAAGGTTCCTTTTATGCTTCGGGTAGGTTTAGCTATAGGCGAGTGCCGGAGGAGAGAGATGCTAAAGGAAACGGCGGGTTTTGTTTCCTTGCGACTTCCCGTCAAAACATATAGAGCAAACTCCGGAGCGACAAGAAATAACCTCTGGACCCCATGGTAGTTTACATGACAAAAAAAGAGGAAAATATTTTGTTTAAACATCTCAAACCACTTCTCATAAAATGACTGGGTTGATATTACGGTCCACGCTCAAACAAAATGACAGCCATTGAGACCCCCACTATGACCATCAACAGGACATATAAATGTTATTGATAAAATAACAATAAAAAAAAATCAAATACCTTCGGGTACGTCYACTCCATCGATGTTGTATGTCTCGTCAAGAGTTCGTGCGATAACAGGAACGGGGGAGTAAAGTCGCATGGATTCCTTGATGCAGCGGAACAGATATGGTAGGCTTGAGATCGCTTCCCTAAACATACAACAAAATTACCGACAAACCGACATGTTATACATGATTTAGAATTCGTTTATTATTCTTCCTAAAGGATAATTTAAACGTCTCGTTTTCGTTAAACTTGAAAGGTCAGCAGTGGAGGATACAGGTCTTTGAATGCGGCCCTTGCACCCACCCCTTCGATGCGCAGATGACAATGACAGATACTTCAGAATTAGTGAAAAAGAATAAAAAAATCTCAAAGTTGTAGACAAATATATGAAAAGAATATCTTAGATGCCGGAGAATGTTTGAAAAAGGTAAATAACCGAATGCAGGAACATAATAATAATAAAGCCACAATTTTGGTGAAATAACAAAAGCAACCGGCCASTGAAAATTCGTATCAATCAGTCAACTACCAGGCGGTTGTGAAAACCATGAATCAGAAATTCTTACAAAATTAAGATAACTTTTTCAATTTTTTTTTGATTTTAAAAGGATAACACGACATCGTACGAGGACCTWCAACAACTAATAAAGAAARTAAGTAGAAACTTACCATGTGATGTGYTCATTGTTGTTGAATGCCTCGTCAATCTCCTGTTGGCAAATCTTCTGGTGTTTTACGTTCACTGCCAAGCTGTACAAYGTCCAACACAAGGCTAAGAACATTAAGAGAAAATGAAGTACAAATGAATACCACCAAAKCAAAATATGTCAAGGAATTAGAATTAGATATGTATTAATCAATTTTTGTGCTTATATTTTTTCAACCAATATTTTATTTCATAGTAGTCTTTATATAAGGTTTTATATTGTAAAGCGCATTGAGATCTTTTTGGAATGCGCTTACTAAGATGATGATGATGATGATGATGATGATGATGATTGTTATCATCATCATTAAGGAAAGATACGTGTTAGAAAGATCGATCTCAGTATAAACTTTGCTATGTGCTTTTCATTTCATAGCCTAGACGATTTATCACGTGGAACATTTTKTTTTTATTGTTGGCACTTTAGATGTGTATTTATAACACGCAGAAAAGCCTGATCAGTAACTATTTGATTTATCGATTGATATGATAAAAAACAGATGCTGAAAAGAACCAAAGTCGCCAAACGGGAAAATACGCACCACTTGCAACAGTATCGTGCCCAGCAAACATGAACGTGTTGACCTGGGCTCGGATCTGGTCATCTGTCAGTCCTATTCCGTTTTCGTCCTGAAAATAAAAAAGTTTTATATGCCTAAGATGAACTAGTTTCAACCAACTCCGGTACGTGGTGAGGTATTTTTCAGTTTAATATATAGCAGAACATAGCGATAAAAAAAAGCATTAGACACGTTGATTGATAGAGAAAAAAGCCAGAGGAGCTTTATTTGTTATTTCCCATCACCATRGCGAAAATCTCAACCATCATTTTTTTTTCTAAGTTGTGCATGTGGAAGAGAAATGCGCGTTTGGAAGACTCCKCAACCAGAAGGAACAAGCTTGTGAAACAAGACTGTAATATGATAAAGATGAAAGCGTGGTGTCTTTTGTGACGTACCTTGGCCTCGAGTAGAATATCCAGGAAATCGTGGTAGCGAGGTTTTGCAAACCCGTTCACCTGAAACTAAAGAAAAAATCTCTCAATTTGCGAGCAATATACACTGATAAATCCATTTATTTGTCCTCCAAATTAAGCTGCATTCCAACGTGATGCAAGGGGTCTATAAAGCGTATCGCATTTGGAGAGGGCTTCGTTTTGCATGAGCACTTTTGTTTGATTACCTTGTTGTTGAGAAACTGCCTTCTGTTGGTGATGACTTTGTCCGATTCCCGATGGATTATGCCACAGTATTTCATRAATTCTCGATTGGCTGATGTAAGGTTATAAATGCAATCGAAGTGAYAGACGGGGTTCCTGTGTCATAAATTGCAAGGTTATATTATACATAGTAAGTATATACTATTTCCATTGGTTCATTTTGTTCTACTTTGACTGYTATTCACTAATTACACCTATTTAATTAAAGGTTGTCATCGCCAAAGGCGATAGGCGAAAAGCGATAGGAGATTCCAAGATCCAAAAATAACTGTAGTGACTTGTGTTTCTGCTTCTAATTCTCGTCAAGAACATGGACCTTAGTGTTGAAAATGATTCATTGTTCTTAGTATTCAACAAAACCATGTCGGAGTGACCTGTAGCCTTTGGCGATGACAACGTTTATCGAAATAGGCGTATACAACTTGTTTCACGGGCCAAGTAAAACAAAACTCAATAAAATAACTATTATAAAACATGGAAACAAATATAGGGACCATACAGAATCAGCCAATATATTAGCCATCATTATTTAATTGTTTTGCAAGGGAACCGCATCTTCCTATAAAGCTCTTAAGTGTAACGTCGATTATATCCATGTTTAAGACGAAAAGCAGTCATTCTATATACATTYCATACTTTTTCATGACAGCAATTTTTTGTCCTAATTAACTCCTAATTGTTTTAGGAGAAGGTTAAAAATCATCAATCGCATATTTTCGCTAAAGTTTAGCAGTTGAAAGTAGTTGGACARGGAAATATGTCTTGACTTAAAAGCTCTATAGAATCCGAGTTCCAATCAAGTAGATTGACGTAAGCGCCAACGTACTTGGACGCGCTCACTTAAAAACAGTTTGACGTCAGTAAGCAAGCAAGAGCCCACAAATGAAAGATCCTAGAAAACTTTCAAACATTACATATTGACTTTGACGTTCATTTTCCGTTTCTATTGCCACTTGTAGATGACCTTTTGTTATCTGTAAGCAAAGGTTTCATTTTCATACTTGACTTAGCTTTTACCCCACCTTTTTACATCATCAGATTTAAATAATACCACTGGGTTTTTCTTGGAGGTATGTAGTCATCCGAGTCCGAATATAAAATTTGAAAGTACAGGTCATGAAGGTAATCGCCATGATGGGTTTAATTTTAAGAAGATAAACAACAACAAACGAACAGTTATTTGGACATTTTGCGACACATTGTTTCGATAAGACTAACAAATCATGCAAGTAATCTTTTTCTCCTTTATTGTGTATTTTGTATATGTAGGTATTTTGTTACTTACAGTAGACGGTCCAGCAAGGCCCTCGCGATGCCATTTATTGCTGCGATGTATTCATCTTGTATTCTTGTGGGAAATGGGAAAATGTTTAAAATAATGGAATAACGGAATTTAGGATATTGAATAGTAAATAAACAGTACGAACAACAACTAATGAATTGAAGAAATGTCACTGTTTTCTTCAACAGTAGAACAAGATGGTCGGTAACCCAGCCGGCTGGTCGGTTGWTCAGAACGAGCAGTGCCAGTTGGACAGTCAAGTAAAGACAACCCCACTCAAAATTCTAAAATTAGCATTAGAACCCTGTGTCCTTCAATGGTCGAACAGATGGTCGGTCAAACAGCCTGCTGGTCGGTCGGTCGGTTAGTCAGAATAACCAGTTTGGGACAGGCAAGCAAAGGCATGCCTGTTAGCAGAAGGCCCACCCAGAGTAATCCAAAAATAGCATTAAAACTATTAAAACTACAAATACGTTACAGAAAAGCAGCCAAAAATCTCTTACTGCACCGCCAGCACAAGTAGATTATGATAGATTACCTTTTAATCTTTTTCACATAAGACAATGAAAGTATCCATGACTGACATAGATCCTTATAATTGCATTAAGATCTTGAACACATTTTACCACTTACTTTTGCGTTTGGCAGGAGCTTGAGTAACTGAAGGCGCACTTGAGGATAGAGTCAAGCGTCAGGAGACTAATGTCTTGGAAGAGTTCGACCTTTCCGTTGCTGCGGGACCATTTATCCTGCAGAGATAATTTACTCAATTTTGATATTCATGATTTTCATTAACCTCATCTAACATTTACAGGTCTTCAATARGTTTCTTTAGCTTGGGGATAATGACCACGTGTCATTCCCTAGAGTTTTTTGTTTAAGGGTTACGCATGAGAAAAAAACTAAAGAGGACGTCTATTGACCGTAAGGGTAAGGTGGAACCAAACTAATTCAGAGCGAATTTTGGACAGTTTTAATTCTCGCTCCCTTCGCAAAACTATCACGTCTTTCATTCTGATATAATATTATATTAAAACTATACCTTTATTATCAAATTCTAAATAATTCTAAATTTYGGCTACATTAGTTAATTAATTATACAGCTTCTCATTAATCCCATATAGGTAACTGTCCAATTATTTTCTTAATTGGACAGGTCTTGTTGATATGGGATTAATTAGGCAGCTATATAATTAATAGGTAATGGGATTTCATGCTCCCCAATCAAGAAATAATAATTAGACTCGAAAAATTCCTCTGACTCTAAATTGGACTCGGCCTACGGCCTCATCCAATTTTGDMAGTCCTCRGAATTTTCCTCGTCCAATTATTTCTTAATTGGACAGCATGGAGWCCTATTACATATACTAATTAATAATAATAATAATAATAATAATAATAATAATAATAATTATTATTATTATTATCAGGGTTAAACTAAGTTAACCAAACCCAGATATAGCCCAGATATAATATTTCAGCCTTACCAATAGAACCTGAGCAGATTCCTGGAAAACAGGAAAGTACCGCAGAAGTATCTTAAAGTGGAAAGATGGCGTCAGTAGCTTTCTTGTATGTTCCCATTCTTGTCCTTCTTGTAGTCCCAGGCCATTTCCTGAAAATTAAGACATTTGCATCGATTTCACTTGCACCTTGACCACTACCACTACCACACTGTTTCGCGTGTTTCTAAAAGCTTTCCCGAATAGACCATTTTCTAATTGCCCTATTTCACTATGACGTCACTGCTTGTTTATGTGGGGGATAGAATCGCCAAATCCAATAGAAAATTCAACACAATTTGCTCTTAGCGAAACAGTTTAATCTAAAATGGTCTGGTTTTCAGATACAATATGTGTTAATATGTACTAACAAATATTCTGAGCGTTTACTGGCTATTCTACTTCTCTTCGTGGATTGATACGAGTTTTAGAACAATTTTCGGTGAATTTGCGTTGATTTGACCCCCTACGACGACCATGATCCTTTGCGTTTAAACAATAGATTGTTTTGATGTGACGTCATAGAGAAATAGGGAAATTAGTCACATACCGGCTGCTGTTGTTCCTTGATAATTGAGACTTATTTTTACAGGGTTAGYCTTATTTCAGTGAAACTTGAGTATTCGCACAAGTGATCATGAAACAATGTCGTTGGAGATAACCCTAAACCTAACTTAGGACTTGATGTTCATACATTTACTTTATTCAACCAAGTACTACCTCAGCTTGCAACCATTTTTTCGTGGTCACTCAAGAGAARCGTCTATATTAAAATATTTCAATAGACTTATACATTTCGTACTGTGCTAATATATTCGCAATTCCGTAGCCGTTTCAAATACTTTGTGGCTAGGTTCTAATCAAATCACGGAAGTGAGTAATCAAACCGACSGACAGCTTCATAGACAAATTTAATTTGCTATGGTCGTGGACCTCACAAGTTAGAAAATCAATTCAGTAATATAATATAAAAACTGATAACAGAGAAACCCACCCGGGTGATTTGCAATCTGGGGACGCAATACATTGTTTGCTTCAGCGAAAATTTCTAAGTGGTTTCTGTTATCTCTTATCAAAACGAAATATGCACCAAATAAAAATAGTGACTAGCCTTGTGGTGTTCACACGGAAACTAAGACAAACATTTTTTTCACAGGTAAAAGAGGCTAGTTCACGGTCCAGAACAATAGTTAACCATATTTCGATTCGGTGTATAGCCAGACTCAAAAAGCGCAGCGCGCTGATTCTAAAAATAGCTTAAAGATTCGGACAAACATTGCATTCTGTTTAGCCGCTACGAGGATTATACGAACCGATTTTATTATTTTTACTAAAAGTTACAATAATAACCAATGTAAACTAAGATCAACTGCGATCGGCTGTGAAAATTATCTGCTGAAAGTAAACTCGTAAGTTTGTTTGTCCGAATTTCGCCTTTGTCTTCGTTTTTATGACGTCACGGCTGCGCTGCGCTATTAATTGTCTATTTCTATGTTTTCTTTTAGTATAATTTTAGACTTGAATATAGAGKTTCGCTCGCAGCTGTGATTGGTCAAGCGACAAATCACTATGAGAAGATATACCCATAACAATTATTAAATATCCAAAAAGCTGTTTGAGCTAGCATTCGCCATGTATAAAACCCCCCAAAATCATTTCAATGCCATTTTTGCGAACAGGAGTTGTTTGGGCTACCTGTGACCTAATCATATAAAGATTGAGCGTATCAAAACATATTATGTTAGATTTCTTAATCACGTTGTTTTTAACTTACCCAGGAAAGGATACAGAAACTTGTAAAAAAATCTTTCCTTAGGAGAATTCTTGGAAAGTACGACACCAGCAGTGTCTGGATGGCAGAGAATCAAGGCGGATCTTAGCGGGCCAAACCAGACTCTATACGATGTCTTGTAAGTAGAAGCGCACTTCAGATGAAATGCYAATCCACGGCCATCAAAAGTTATCTAGTAAAGAAACAAAGGTGTTCCTTAAGATAAATGGATCATAACCAAGCTAGGAAAATTTTTTTCCCTCTTACTGTGAGTGGGGTTTGGGGTTAAGGTTGGAGTTCGCGACGGCAGGAGGCCGTATTGTRGTAACCTTTTTGAAGGATTGTGAAGGTCAAGGGAGAGTCGTTTTTCCATCCAAGATCGACTTCTTTCATGTAAGGGATCATAGTGTACTCACACTTGATTTTTGAAACAGTACTTTTCTTCGTGTTCTTTTTTTTCACTAAATAGTACAAAATAGTGCAATGTCTATTATTTTATCTATCTTTTTAGAGTGGTTTTCATAAACTTGTGATATACACAAGCATTGTGATATTTATCACTTCTTCACTCGAATTCTTTTGTTTCCTATTATGTTTATCTGACTATTACACTATAATTAGGACACCTTGTTTCATGGGGTGAAAACCGCTCTATCAGTTGCTATTTAATACAAATTAGTACTAAGAACACAGTACAGTTTCACAGATAGAGCGGATGTAATTAAACTGTGAAATAAAATCAAACTAAATACGAACTAATAGTATCTATTTAGTGACTAATAGTTGCTATCACTAAGCCAGAACATTCATCATACAAAGACAAATACACAAGAGACCATTTGGGTCTTTTGTTTAATAAATGTTCTGGTTGAGTAATAAACAGATACTATTAGTTAGTTTGCACTTTAACCGTATCTGCTAAGTAAGAAGTGAGCAACCGGTTATTTCTTTAAACTGAGAAATACTAAAGAACTTGCCCCGAGGTCTTCATAAATCGCTTTAGCCTAATGAACTAAGACAGCTATACTGCAATCCAATGATATCTGAGAGCTCKCGGATTATTCAAATTTGTACCTCTCGCAGTCTGCCTGATTAAGTTCTTCAAAACCACATTAGTGGCTTATCCCGGATTAAACATTTTCAAACACTGCTGGTCTTAGTAATAATGCAAGGCTGGCCGCAGCAACAGCAGCAACAGATCTAGAGAAGATTCAGATCAAGAATATATCTTGGTTTGTCTTTGCGCAAGTCCAATTGCAGTTGATTATGGATCAAAAGGGAAAATTTGTTGTTCTTGTTATTTTGGCAAGTCCTTCAGAACTTGTTCTTTATATTTTCTTAGTCCATCTTTGAATTTGATCAGCCAAGAGGTTCTTTTAGGATACGGATCGAAAAGGTTTTGAATTTTATTTATTACGTGTTGACGGCGGCCATGTTGAAAGGCAGAACCGAAAKAATCTCATCCCTCGAGGATCTGAACTCTTTCTAATGCAAAACAATTTCATTGTTGATATGGTGCAAGATGTCTGCCGGCTGTCAGGCTACCCGATGTGGTAAAATTTTAATAGGTGAATAATCCTATTGTCAAGATGGCCCTTAGCATGGGTCTATTTAGACTGTTAACATTCCCGCTCTTCCTTACACATACTCTGCCGAGTCGGGTTTTTTWAAATTTTGACCGTCTTTTTGAACGCCCGGGGAGCGGGTACGAAAGTCTAAGCGGCACGCGAGGAGAAGAAAAGGCGTCCCAGTCCCCGCTCGTGCAAATCAAGCAAAAACCCTGACCCGACTGAGTTTGGAGGGGRAAAAAAATAAAGAACACTTTTGAAACAGGTTTATTTGGGGTTTATACAAATTGTTTTAGTTCACTGTTATTAAGTTTGAATGAACACACTTAGTACATGTTTTAAAAGTAGAAGGGAAAGTAGGGTGCAATAAGAAGTTGGAGAAGGAGAATATAAAATCTGTCTTTCACTCATGATAACAACRAACTAGCTAGTGAAAAGCAGGGCGAGTGGGGAAAGAGTGGGTAAAAATTGTTTGCATTGTCAGTGAAATTAAAAATCAAACTTGGCATTGATTATTTATTTRAACAAAACTTTAGTCCATTCTATTATATTTTTAAATACCATTTAAGTCTGTGCACCACATTTCTTATGAAACTAGTGGCCATTTTGTTCGCCTTTATTTTCTACAAGAATCCCAAGGATGGTAGTTTAGCGATCTATTTGTCACTTCTTGTCCTCGAATGTCCTTGTCCATCCTTACAAAGGTCACTAAACGATGGCATTCTTGAAGATATCAAAAAAGACAATCCCTATTGTAGATGCCAATGATAAAACTTTATGATCATTAAATATCGRCTTCGGCGATCTCCTAACTAGCGTACGCGTGTCCTCAAGTCGTACAAAGTCGGACACTATTACTGAGATCAAACGATCCGASTTGATGTCAGTTGAGGTCAATATCAAATGATATTCCATGCAAACAATAAGCACAAAACTAATCGTATCCGGCCCTTGAACAAGCATGGAAAGTATCTTATGAGGATTCTGAGTGTCCTTGTCAAAGAGCTTATATACTTTGAGGCTTTATATACTTTGTAAATACATTGAATGAGAAGATGAGCTGACTGTGTTCATGAGTACAGTATCAGTATCTTATGTCAGACTGCTGGCATATGAAAAGAGACGTCCATAGCTTTGTAATTGCCGACATCCCCACTAGCTCCGTACCATGAGAARCATCGTTTAACGGCCTATACCTTCGAAGTTTATTTTACTGAAGTTTTCTTTATCGAAAACACCACTATTGCTCTCTACAAATAAAATTGTCTTGGAAAAAAATCTAATTAAGATCTAAACGATAGGGAAATTGAATTATCAAATTGTACAAAAGATAAGAGAGACAATCACGAAAGAAGTTCGCCATCAGAAAATGAAGTTTTCTGGGTCTTTATTTGGCAGTTTGGAAGTACCAAACTTTGTCCTTCAAAGTARAGGTCGAATAATTTTGGAGGGGCATTGTCACGATGCTGCAAAGTTTTTCAAACTACATAAGAGCAGTCTATGATATATTGTCGACGATATTTAGTTGAGCGAATTACGAAATAAAAACCAAACGACAACGCTCRAAAATCGTGGCGATTTTATTTAGAAATGGTATATTTAGGTGTTCAAAGCTAAATCAGTCTAAATTTATAGTTTTAAAATCTTGCAGGCTGAACGGTGGGGCAACGATGTCAGTGCCAGGCTATGGAGGCTGGTTGTATTAGTTTAAGGATGTTGGTAAAAAAGCTCATGTAACATGTAACTGTAACTGATAAATTATACGTCTTTTTTTATTTTATATTTTATTTGCATCAGTACTTTTGTGTCGACTGACCCAGATGTTTTGCAAATCCTTCGAGATCATTAAAACTCTAGATTCCTAGTCGGAGTTTGCTCAAAGCATGACCATACAATAAAGCACTTCTCAGTCTTTGGTATTCCAAATCTCATAGGATCCACTCGGAAAATAACTGCTCAACATTCAAATTTCTTTCTCYCCATTCATCATATCAATAAGCAAGCAAATGGGAAACATCGATGCTTTAAAAGTGGGATCCTAAAATTGTATGCATTTTTGGGTATTTTTCCTGTATGCATTTGAATGAATTTGAATTGTCGATTTTGATCATCGGAGGAAGGAAAACCGGAAAAAAACAGGGGAAAATATATTCGCAGAAAAGGAGAACGATATTTTTACTTTTTTATCCTCAGACAAGGTAATTCGCGACTTTAAGGCAGAACACTCTGACCTTTACAAAAATACGTCTCTACCGGTTGATCAGGTTTTGAGGGCATTTCACATTCTAACTTGTCGCATTTCAGTAGAAAAAGTCAAAGTGATGATGATGAGGTTGATAATGACGATAACCAAACARCTCATAATTTAAAAAGCTTTTTTTTCCAGCTCATAAAAATGACAATAAAATAACGAGAGCTTGAACTTTCTTTCCGAGACAGAATGCATGGAAGCCAAATAAGGTCTTGCTGCCCGTGACACAAGCGCAAAAAAACCATTCCTTCTCAAAATAGCTGACTGATTTTCGATAGCCATCATAATCGTTGACTTCAATAGGAGTCTCTCTGTTTATAGGGAAAACAAGATCGAATTTCCTGAAGTGTGCCGTTATCAGCGTGTGCTTAGGGTGCCACGCGCCATCCAGCCATCAAATCCAAGTATGAGCGATTCTTAATGACCGGCGTATTTATAGCTGGTCTCGATTACCCGGGGATTACAATGTACAGAAGTGCTTCATTTCTACATCTTTATACTGTCGTTATTGCACAATCACTGSCTCTCCCTCCCCCTGTATAAAGCACGTAACTGCCTGATTTATTATCTTTTTTTCAAATATATTTTAGTCTGTTAAACGTTTCCTTGCAGTGTCAGTACYTATTATTGAGCTGGCTTGCTGTCATCAATCTCCAAAGTCACCCTCACGTTTTAGCAAGGATGAAGTGGGTGGGCTTGAAACTCTATTTGGGTCTTTCAGACATTCCTATCCTGGGGCACATTCTCGGATTTTCATTCTTTTGTTACATTGCGCAGTTATTGAAGTACAGACAAGCGCAACAGGAGCATTACCCGATCTGTGGGGTTCAGCGTCTATAGAAAAGGTTAAGTGAATTCTGATAAACAGAAAACTGCGTACACTAATTTTAAATGCTGGCACGCGAACGCATTAAACACCGTGGCGCGTAACCCCTAGTGTCAAATATCATTGTYAAATAGCACACGTAGTATTTGCGCGCTGTAGCTAAATGATGCCCTGTAAAAATTCATTCATTCTCATTTTCAGTCAATGACAAACGATAATGTAGTAATCTCCAAGGGTAATAAATTTATTTCTGTTTGTAGTACTCACGTCATCTATATTTCCTTTTAACCAATGTGCTTCAGGGCCAGGGAATCCTTTGACTTGCTTGGCAGAGCGCCACCTCATGATGATCAGAGAGACGATAAAATGAACTAGTCCAGTTGATATAAGTCCTAGAGCGACGTAAAAACCTATGTTTGTCCAGTCCCAACCTGCTTCTTTCTGYATTTTCATTTTTTGGACCAAATTYTTGCTGTCTTTCTTTTCACACTTGAGTTGCAGACGTTGTTCTCAGTTCTGAAAAATAAATGGCAGACGATAAGACTTTCAGAGACTCCAAAAAGTCTGGACTTTGTTCCTCTTTAATCAAGTTAAACAAACCTAAGATCGATCAGTGCTGCTTCAAGGCTCGAGCGCGTCTTATCTGGGCGAGAGTCGATGATCACTCTATTTCAATGTGTGGATTTTCTACTTGAAGTATTCGGGGTATTTCACCTATGGGCCAACGGTGCGATGTGCCAATCGAGATAAGCAAACATGAGGTTAGATCTCAGACTATGTCCACGATCAGGTGTGAACATAAGGTACTTCACAATTATCCAATTTTGAAAGCTGTTTGCGCTTTCGAAGTCTAACCGTTGGCAGGGCAACCGGCAAATCTGTTAAGTTTCAATCACTTAATCATCATACTCACGCATTATTACTTTCAAAAGAAACACAAAAGGCAAGTTTATATTGTAATTCTGTCCATCTTGTATGCATTACTGACAAGGTCTTGGTCGACAGTGGCACACGCCAGGCCCTCGGGCAAACRCATGGTGCATTTTGGACTGTTATTCCTTACAAGCATGCTTCGTTAGCCAGCTCAAATTAATTCGCTTCATATGAGTAGTAACAGGACACGGTAAAAAGAAAAAAAACTCTTATTTTCTTATCACGTTTTCTTGGAACTACGATTGTAGCTGACTGATTGCATTTGGATATTTTACGGGATTAGACCTGATTTCTCCGATTCCCCGATTGCGAAACTGTAATTACTTAATCCGAGAGGACGGAGCAGGAGCTTTTATCAGCGAATACTGCCCATTTACTTGTTTTGAAGTATTGATTACACTCTCTTTATACAGTCTTCTTTCAACTATGCTGAAATGTGTTATTTGAAATGTTATTCACGTACTTGCTTCGTACAACAAATGCTTTCGTTAGTACTGCTTACTACCAAGGAAACAATCTAATGTTTCGTTATGTAATCGGTTTCGCGTAAACCTTTCTCAGGTCCTACCTTGTTCTTTCTTTCATACTATTTTAACAAGCCTAAGAACGTACCGAAACAAGAAGAACATTTTTAATGATCTCAAGAGTAAGTTTTCCTAAGGCACGCCCAATTCCAAAWACAATACGTCAGCATTCACCGGTGTTCTATCCTTCGCAGCAAGTGACAAAAAAAAAATGGGCGAAGTTTACGGCAGCCATGCTGTGGGAATAAAGACCATAATTCCTTTTCATTAAGAAAATGGAATCGATCTTTTGCGTTTGATAATTTCTGTTTTACAACAATATCACTGCTACGTGTGAGTGAAACCCCTTCTCTATTAATCTGCAGGAGAGCAATGAACTGAATATTGGTTATGATCCTTGCAAAGTTAGCCTTATAACGAAGACCGACCCTTCGGTGACCCAAAACATTGAAGTTTAGTAGCCCCTTAAGACCAAATAGATTAACATATGGCCTATTCCCTAGTCTCGATCAGAGACCTTATTTTAATCCTTGAACACTGGCATCTCAATTGTTAAAGGAAGGGATTAAGACTATATCCAACAGACGCATTTGCCACTGCATCTAAGTGAAACAATTCYAAACTGGCAGGAATGTAGAATTTAACAATATAAACGTAATTCGTAACAAGAAAAGAAGCAGATGCCACGCGTGCACTTAGAACTCATGGAATCACGCATGCGTGGATGAACAAGAAGTTTGATCGTGCACTACTAGTTGGTTCTCTGACCATGGCCAACCGTCGCATATTATAGATACAATAACATTCCCACTGTGATAGATCAACAGGCTGGCGCTTCTGGGTTCCATACGGCATTAATGTTAGCTTACCATTATGTGTGGGTAGCGTGCAGCATACCATGACTTTGAAATGATTTTCCTATCGGACCATTCACAAAGCACGTCATTTTGTAACATGAATGTTTACTTTTCTGCAATAGACTCCCTTGTTGCACATTGGAAAAGCTTGGAATGCACCTTAATTTGGAGGGCATCAAAATAGCTTTCCAGTTCTCATGAGATTGAAATTATTTCGTTTTGTCCTCCAAATTGAGCTTCACATGCAAGGGGTCTATAGGAAAAATTCTTTAAATTCTAAGCCGATGATCGCATTCATTGATATAGTTCAACTAGCATAAACAAGTTGTATCGGCTTCCGTCATTAATCGTGTACTGCTTTCCTGCATGCGGTTTGCCAAACCGTATTCGCTAGGAACTGTGTGCTACAAACTTGAGTCGGAATCTGGCATAGTGAAGCCAACGATTACTGAACTACGAGTTATCAGTGATACGGCTCACTATGGGGTTGCTATTCAACCTACATGTATATATTCAGTAAACCTTTATCTTGACAGATCGATATATATATATATATATATATATATATATATATAGCAATATCAACTAAAATTTTCCAAGATTCTAAAAATTACTCGTGGAACGTGCGAAATCCAGACATTGTAATAATACTATCAAAGACAGTACCTTCAGGTTCAAAGTTCGTGATACTGAAATTACGGTATAGTAAACATGAAATCTTAGTCTCCGGCCGCCAAGAGCGGACGAAAGTATTAGTTGTTTGTTTGCTGACTTCACGGTTGATATTCTGACTGAGATAATATGATCTATTCTGATTACGTCTTACATAATTGTTTAAAAAAGGTATAGTGGTGTTTCGTGGATTTTACTCTAACGATATTTCTCTTCCAACTTCCTGCAGCGTGAGAGTCATTACTATACTATGATTGTGTGCGCTAAAAACACGTGTTTACGTAACGGAAAGAAATTTGTGCAATATTTTGCTACGATAAACTTTGAAAACAAGGCTATCTTATCAATCTTCAAATCAATACAACTTAGAATGCTTTATACTTCAATTTGATCACTTACCAGAAGAAAATAATAACTCGCATGAAGACGATGTGCCGGAGGTATGATCTACGACTAGTGCGACTCCCAGCACAAGTCGACCGTMTTTCAAGGCGGACCGGAACTCTAGTAGTTTGGGAACTGAAACATTCAACTATCAATGTGTATAATCGGCGCCTACWTCCTGTTGATAGACTTCGATTTGATATCACTTTCCCGAAATACTTATTGGCTAAGARTTCATGGAATTCTATCCGTTTTTTCAATAGTTTGTCGGATTTTGTTGGTTAGTTTTGCGATGCGAAAAACCCTCAGTATTTAAAATGTCAAGAGATAGTGATGATACTTGTTTGAGTCTTTGATTCATTATGCCAATTAAAAATAACTTAGGGTTGTACTTTAATGAGATAAAAATATCCTTTATTGGTTTAATTTGAAAAGCCAGTTTTAATAGCACAAAAAGAGGACTTGACATCGAAGGACAAAAATAACAGGCAATTAGACGCGAATAATCAGGTAATACGATGTCTAGCTTTGAAAAACAATAACGGGGCTCAGCTAGGCAAATAATAATCATTTAATGAAAAAATATTTATATTTATTTATAGCGGATATATTTTTCATAGATAAACAGAGCATTTAGYCAACGAACTTATAGTGTAGTCTTCATTTTTGTCTTATGAACATACAAAACTAAATCTTTGGAATCTTGCACCAACTTTGAACTCGTATGATTCGGAATTGGAGTGTGAGTGGGTTCCAAAACTTCTTTCGCCGTTTGCAGCGTTYCATGTTATTTTCTTCCTGCTTAGTCACGCTTTCGGCCTTTTCCTGGAAATCATTTTGAACAAACATCCGGCCTGTTACATCCACTTCTTCCTTCTGTATCGAGCAAACCATAGATTCGTGGAAAGTATCCTTTAATTGAAGTTTGCTTTTTGCAAGTTGGTATGATTCACTAGCCTTTCCTTGACTTCCGTTTGATAGACAGTGTTTTTGWGCTATTAAAGTCTCGCATTTGCTAACGAGGTTTTTCTGGCTTTCCTACTTCCTTAAGAAAAAGGAATTATCAACAAAATCGAAAGAATTCCGCGAAATCCCCAAGCTAAAAATAAAAATAATTAAGCCCAAAATAGATCTTCCGAAGTCAGTCTAGTGCACAAACACTACCGTCGATGACTGAGACCTTTGGCAGTCTCAGTTTAACTATGGGCAGCGGCATTTCCGAAAGTACGCGCTATCTAACTACCTTATTTTTTCCTGGTTGCTCCGACGGAATTACTTTTTCGTTAACCTTTACGTATATTAAAATGCGTGGTAAAAAGCCGTTTACCTTTTTTTTTTTTTTTTGCCAAATTCCCTTTTACACCCACGAGACCAAATTACGATCCAAAGGTCATTTTTTACAAGTTTTTGCAATGACTCGATTTCTCGAGGCTACCTGATGGTAGAAAAATGTTTTAAGGTGAATGAGTTTTATATCTCAAATGACATTGGATGGAGGGGCCACGTACATTTTGTTAAACCTCCTGCGTGAAGTCGTAATTTTTCCTTTATAGTGAAAGACTCGCAATAACCTCGAGTTTATCTTGATGTTTGTAAACCGTCGGGTGTAAAGGAAAGCATTAAGAGAAGTGACTGATATCATTGTAGACGGGGCCTGAAGGTATTCTTATTGAAAGGAAGTGAAGAAAAACCCCAAAGTCGTTTAAGAGACCTCCAACCGCGAAATCAGTTGAGCCAGGGGATGATAAACTACTAAGGCATATCACTGGCGAGCTAAAGGTCCCGGAACATGATTTACCGATATCGATAATCTTTCACAATGGAGTTATATGAAAAAGGCCTACATCCAAACACAAACCAAAATGCAAAAATAAAATAACAAAAAATAAATATAAATAAACAAATAAATAGTTATAAAATATATATTTCAGATAAAATGCTCGCGTGGATTGGGTGACTACTTTGTGTATACCAGAGGACAGAGACAYGCTTGCTCAAAATCGTTCAACATATATATTTTATAAAACAAAACATAACGGCTGCTTATGCGGTCTCTCGGCACTGTGATATAAACTCTCTAGGAGCTGTAGAGCACTCGAATCTACGCCGTGCGTTCCTAAAGTGCTTGTCTGGAAAGGGGTCCTTACTTGCCTAGTTCCCTCGTGCTCTACAACTCCCAGACATCACAGTAAAGAGAAATGCGCGCGCGTTTTATATTTCTTTAATAAAAACATTTTCCATTCAGTATTGTGAATTTGCCGTTGATTTGCATCTCAAATTCATCCAGCAGATAACTTCAGCGAACTTCCTTATTTAACGACTTTTCTATTTGAAGGCGAACTGGGTAGTAATAGTTTCATTGTTTCCCATTATTTCCTACACGAGTACTGGAAGAAGAAAAAAAATAAACGTTTTTATATTTTTCCATTATGACAACTGAATAAAGTTAAAAAAAGTTTTTGCTTTGATTGTCAAAGCCTAGTTCTTATATATATATTAACAGCTTTATTGGGAAACTAATATCACAATGTATTGAATAGAAAAAAAACTAATAGTTACCCAGAAAGGAAAGTCACGAACGGGACACGAGACACATGCTAGGTGACCACCCGATAAAAAGTTGAAATAATTAAGCGTAAAAATATATGCAAAAAATACAACATTGTACGTAAAAGTGAAAAATAAGAATGCAAAAATAAGTTCATTAAGATAGTTCATGCATAATACTGAACAGATAGGCAAAACATACTCTTCTAGTAGTCATACATGATTTGGGGTTCGCGATGTAACTGCTTTTACTGACTAAGGCTGTGAATAATCTTCATTAGCGGTACAGAAACAACCTGATCCTGAAAACTGCAAGTTAAACGACGTTGATAAGTATGTCGTTAATAAACAATAGACATTTAAGTTGAAACATGTGCCTCAACAATTCAAAGAAAAGGTGACGCTGACGATGTCCCCTGAGGAAAAAGGCTTGCCCCTCTCTAACAACAGGGTCATCCTACTTTGATAGGGCCTACATCACTGTCTCTACCGGTATCTTTTGTCGTTGTAGCGTCTCAGTTGCGTGGCGTTCGTGCAGATAACAAAACCGTCAATTAAAGGATTAAGTCTTTATCTTTATTTACGTCTTGCTGGTGATAGCAGTCTTAACGCTTTCAGTAAACAAATCGTCCATGATAAGAGTTTAACACTTAGCTTGTGTTGTGGCAATTTCTTTATAAATAGAGACCATTAGATCCGACAACGAGTAACTGGAGAACGAGTACGAGTACAAGTTTCTAACTTTTCAAGATTGGCACTGTCATTTCGTATTCGTGATCCTGTACGTAGATTGAAACTTTAAATTGTAAATAATCGTAAATCCACTGTGATTTATTGTTAACAACGCGCACAGGACAACTTTTAAAGCTCGTTCTCGTACTCTATCTCGTACTCGTCGGATCTAAAGGCCGCTAATATCAACGATAGCCAACTATGCACTTTGTCGTTTAAAATTAATTAAGACAACAAAGCAAAAACGTTACATAGTCTATTAACTATGCCTATATATGAGCAAAAATACAAGACGATTAACTAGTTTTAGCTGTCGTCAACTAAGAATATATAAAATACTGCAGTTAATTAAGTTGAACATAGTAAAATCGAAGGATGAAAGTAATGAAAGTAAAAAAAAAAAAAAGCGATTAAAATATTTCAGTAATGTTTTATGAGCACATATATATCGTATGAACCATGATATGATTTGTGGGATTATAACATAACAACAGTATTAATTGTATACCATTAGACGCCCTAAAAGTCAAATATGAGTTTTTCATTAAAATATGCTAACACGAAATAAGCATCGTGACCATATGTGAACTATCAGTATAGTAAACTAATTCCGTCTGAGCTCGATCAAATCATTGATTGCTCAACTGTACGCCGAACACTGCTATCTCACTGTTGAGACTATCGATGACGGATTAGATTAACCACGATCATGTCTGGTTTGTGACCATGGATCGCCTAGTAGTAAATCGTAATATTTCGCAAGTACTGCTCCCGAATTAAACACTGATCCCCAAAGGAGATCCTCTTTACGATAACTGAAGCGGTTTTTATGAGAGGTGCTTGATGACTGGCCACRTAAATATTTCAAACGGTTCAAAAGGCGATTGAATCATTGAGACGGATAGAAATGCCAAGTGTCTGAAAAGGCATCCCAAACCCCTTACGATTCAGCTTGTTTGGATGTCGAGCGATCTCTGGCTGGCAACAGCATGTGGTCCCGCAACTGTTAATTTGGTATGTTGAGAAGGAAACGGGGTATATGAGTTGGTTTGGAAGAATCATATGATGTTACTATTTCCAGATCTATTCACTTCATTAATCTCTTAGCTGGATTATTTGAAAATACTTTTAGGATGCATCCGACAAATGTTAGCACATCATAATTTATGTCTTTAAACTCATAAAAAAGCGCCAACTGATCTCGTGCGTTAGGTTTATCTCATTATCTCATTATTGTTTGTTGGCAGTTTGTCAACCATCCTCAGAACCTTCACGTATGACGATCGAAGCCTTCTTCATTCTGCTCCTAAGTTATGGAACTATATTACGCCTAAGAACTTAGGATGGCCGAAACTCTGAGGCATACTTTTAAATCCAGACTCAAGACGTTTCTCTTTAAGAACTATTTCATCTTTGAACTTTTAGCTTTAAGCCTTTATGTTCCATATTTGTCGGAAGAGGATTCTGATTTCCAATCACTTTTTTTTACTTTTTACGAGTACGAAAATACCATGCGCATAGCTAAATCGATACGGCATTGTCTTCAGTCTAGCAGCATATTTTAATATAATCATTGCCATCGAACAATACCGACAAAACATCCTATTTAATCAGTCCTCAAAATCAAGGGAAAACCTGACTGAGAACATAGAAAAATCTCAAGCCCTGCTTACGTTCATGATTTAGTTTCGCTTTAATAGAGTTTTACAAATTCTCGTCCAATTACCAGCACCCTTTCTTTTATCTTCTGTTTCTCCTCTTTCCTGTCTTACTTTCTCGACAACAACATGCCTGATCTGCTCAAGGCCAGACGTATTATGTTTTAGAGGTATTTTTCTTTGCTTTTCCATACTAACCACGTGATCGCCACATGGCCAGACCGTAAAATCACGTTCTCGCATCGTGCTGGTTTCCGGATCGCTTATCAGCTGGAAGAGTTCAAGTGGCGCGTGCGACACTAAAGTGCCTACCAAACAAACTCGTCTTTTACGATTTCACGAAATCAAATCCCTCAGCTTTACATAAGATCGGCGTCTTATCTTTCACAGTAATTAGTATTCCTGCTTATCTTGTACGGTTTACTGACCCTTTACATAACCCGTTAGTCATGTCGGCATCGTGGTTCTAAGGGATTCACGGTACATCTTGGAAGGGCGTGATGTAATACCGTACTTAGTCATTGATGAGACGCTTACTTTAAGATTCTCAGACACAAAGAAAATCATTGAGTAAAAGAAGAAGCGAGGGAAAAATTAAGAAGCATAACAAAAATTCCTCTGCCAGCTCAATTTTTCGTTGATTGTTCTACTTAGGGTTAAGGTATTTGAACTTTGATAACTTAACAAAGGAAAATGGCCTTAAATACAGCCGAACTGCTTCAAGAAGAGAATTAGTTCGGTCTATTAAAAAGAGGTCCGGCTGCTTGATCTCATCAGCCAGGGCTTCAACGGATGAAGACATAATAAGCAGGACATACAAGCCCTTGATTTAGGTGCAACAAATTAAAATATGCTATTTGTTTTTCCCCCTCAAAAATAGCCAAATATTTGAACTGTTGTCAGGAAACACATTAAACGTTGTAGATAGAAAAACATTTTTATATTCAAATCGTAGATTTAAACATAATTCCATTTGCAGCAATAATGAAACGGTTCTTGTTATTCAATGTAAAATATCTTAGCAGTAATAAATTACTGAAATTATGGATAGCCGGTTTGACGGAAGCCCTGATATCCCTGATGTTATGACTGCTCAATCGCTTTTATGACACATAGACTAACAAGTTCGTTTACATAACAGCAGCAAAGCGTTATGCAAACAAAACGAGGTGAGTTGTTATCGGCGCAGGAGTAAGTACATGGTGCTGATACTGAAATTATGCCACAACAGACGCCTCAACTTCCAGAATCTATAGCGTGACTTACAAATAAACTGAGTTTTGTTAGCCTGCGTGCAGACTGAATTTAACTGCTGTTAAGACGATATGGCAGTTAAATCCGGTCTGCACGCAGACTAGGTTTTTGTTAGTACAAATTCGAGCAGAATACAGAGATTGCAATCAATCGGCCTAGGAGGCAAGTGTAGCTTAGGTAGTGGCCTAGTAACTGTGGTCCAGTAAGCTATAGAAACCCATCAGATTGGTAAAGTCGGTATCAAATTAGTAAATGTCCTTTTTAGCATAGTTTGAGAGTTTGAGCAGCGAACTGAGGCAAATAGTTCGTTCTAGAAGTGAATATGGTTAAGCCAAACGGCTCAATATAAATCCGCAGCTACTTCGGCCAGAAAAGAAGTTTATCAGTCTAACCAGCCTTTTTTCCGAGCAACATGCTTGTTTTTATAACGGTGTTATCAGCTGACATAGTTACCGTAAAAACTCAGTGTTCAGAATTACTTTTGATCATAGAGATCAATCATCTCGGTGCGCTCCCAGAGAATCGAAGATGCGCCCAGAATTTACTCAGATTATAAAATAAAGAAACATGTTCTAAATTTTCTACTTTTTTATCCACATTTGCAGACAATAAAAATTAAGTAGGATTCAAAAGAAAGTGGTTCTTTTTTTTTGTACTCACCGAATCAAGATTGTCCTCTTCTGCCAACTACGTACTAGTTCCAATTGATGTCTGGAACTTTTTATCGCATCACATGTACATATTCCAGCCTTATTAATTCGTCTTCATAAATTGACGTATAGCTTCAAACAGGAATCGTTTAATTTTGAATGTCAATATAATATTTCAGCTAATTTTGACTGAGCGTGACTGTTGACACTGGAACGGCAACCCTAGAGGACATAATTTGGCTTCATTTATTTTGCCGCGGTTCGGTGAAGGAAATGTTGATGTCGAATGAGGAAGTTTTTGATGYCTTTCTGTTTATGTCGTTTATTTTTATGAGTGCGGGGTGGGCGAAWAATATAATTTTCTACGCAATAAAACTAGTTCATTTTTGGCTTCCTGCTGTCTGATTGTTCTGTCCGACTAAGGAATCAATTGTTTATTTACAAAATTCCGTCACTTATTTTTATTTTTTCTTTCATGTTTCATCAGTAATGTTTCCATCAAATTATTTTTAAGGATCAAAATGTCGAGTAACGCTGCAAGTGATCCCATACAAAAGAACGCCGTAGTTTGATTGATTTCGTCGTGTTTCATTTTAGCTTACTTTGTAGTTATACAAAAACCATTTTAATGAAATTTTGTCCAAATGAATGTTCACTATTAAATAATATAATATAGCTTAGATAGTACGCGCGCTCTCATTGGCTGATTCATGGTTTTTGATTGACAGCTCACGACAAATTATTCCAAAAGTCTGAGTAAAATGCTTCTCTTTTCATTAATTTTAACCATTTATGATAAGATTTTCATGTCATTGTAGGCTGGTAATGAGATTCATGAGATTCATTTAGCTGATTGATACCAAGCAATAGAATACTATCTGGTTGATAGCACATGATGGACAGTGTTTGCCTCTCATTGTAGGGTGGTAATGAGATCAATTCAGCTGATTGATACCAAGCAATAGAATAGCACATGACGGGCAGTGTGTCTTAATCCTTTAGACTGAAAAAGACACAAAAGATAACTTTTGAGACCCAACCTGATGAGTCTCGAACCACTCTCACTTGTTTACAAACAAGTGAACAGTTTGTCGTAAATTATCGTCTTCCTATCAAATCTTGTGAGTCAAGCTTAAATAAATTGAAATGAATGCTGCTAAAGTTATAGAAGCTAAACTGAAAGCGTAGTCTATTCGCCAGACAAAAACGACCAAATCGTTAACCCTATCCCAGACTAAAACGACCAAATCGCAACCCTATCCCAGACAAAAATGATGCCCTATCCCAGACAAAATGTCAAAAAATGATATTCTACCCCAGACCCAAAAGCCRAAAAACCATGCTCTATAGGGCGGCACACACGAGCCGGAGGCGGCGACATCCCGCGTGCTCTTTTTCACCGGTAAAGTCAAATAGAACGTAGCTTCTATAGATTATTTATATGATCTTGATAGCTATGGCTTCTTAAAATTCTAGCAAAAACCCCGTTGTGTTTTCCTGTCAAGCACGTGGAGTATCATACTCGACCACGTGACCCTGGTCCAGTACTAACACTTTGTCATAACCCATGATGGTGTTTAGTCGATGTGCAATAGTAAGTACAGTACAGTCTTTAAACTTTTCTTGTATCACCTGCTGAGTCAGACTGTCTGTCATGAAGTCCACATTAGCAGTTGCTTCGTCCATTATCAGGATCTTGCTCCTTTGAAGCAACGCTCGCGCTAGACACAACAGCTGTCTTTCTCCGACGCTAAATCGCATTCCAGATTCATCCAGTGCGAAGTCCAAACCTCTTTTTAACTCTCTTATCTTGTCTTTGAGTTCTACTTCCTCTAGAGCATTCCAGATCGCTTGGTCGTCAAATTTATCTGTTGTTCTTCCTTAAACTTTTTGCAAACAGTACAGGATCTTGGGTTATAACCGCCATAGCTCTACGAGCAGCTTGGATGTCTATTGTCACTAGATCCATTCCATCAATCAGAACCTTCCCCTGAGGGTCTGGAATTCGGAACAAGGCAGCGACCAGAGATGATTTCCCAGCACCAGTTCGCCCCACGATGCCTATTCTCTGTCGTGGAATTACTTCAATGTGGACGTCCTTCAACACTCGAGGCCCTCCCTGGTAATACGAGAAAGACAAGCCTTGAATACTGACAGCACCGTGTGATGGCCAGCCCCGTGGTGGCAAGGATTTTATGCTGTAACCAGGCTCAGATTGTAGTTTGGTGTAGGAAATGATCCGTTCTGCAGACGTCATCTTGTTCTCTACTTCAGAATACATTGCGATGCCAAACCAAGTTTCACCAATGATCTCTATAGCATAGGTGATCACAAGTCCTGACGTCATAGCTGAACGAGCAATATTAGAACTTTTACTTATCCTTATTTAGGGGATGCATGCAAATAAATTAGAAGCTACTCTACTCTGAGAACGAAGAAAGGGTTCTACCAATACTTTCCTCTGACATCAGTCGACAGAATAAAAGCTGCGAGTCCTTGGCAAGGAGGGAATAGTGAAAAGCCTATGATATATATCATATAGGTTGTGGGCTGCTGTCCCAGTATTGTGAGGGCCCTCAACTGTGCGGTATCAAGCCTAGATTCCGTTGTCCCCATTAGGTTACTAGCGACCTTTAGACACGACGACGAGTACAAGATCGAGTACGAGTACGAGTTTTAAAATTGGTCCTGTGCACGTGGTTAACACTAAATCGTAGTTGATTTCCGATTTTTTTACAATCTAAAGATTCAATCTTCGTACATTATCATGACTACAAAAAGATAGTGGCTCTCTTTAAAAGTTAAAACACACGTACTCGTACTCGTTCTCGTACTCGTCGTCGGATCTAAAGGTCTCTAGTACTGTTTCAGGGGTGAGGACGCTAGCTCTTTCTACTACTTATACGGTGTAAAAACTGTTTTTCTATGTATCTGTACTCTTTGATCGATCACAATTTTCATACATCAAGTGGAACTCAGAGACTAGCGAGTTATGTAAAGAAATTCTTGAAACTAACCCGCATACTGTGTAACGATGATAGCGCCAAAGCCAGCACAAGTAATAAACACGACGCAGAGCAAATCCAGATAAAGGGCTAGCAATTGCTTAGTAGATAAGACAAGCTGGAATACTTTTGTTTGWTCATCCTGATACCTGATAAACATAAAAGAGACAAATAGAAGAGTGAAATAGAGATTGAAACTCTTTTGTTTTATCTCCAAATTGAGCTGCTTTGACGTCTCATAAAAGGGGTCTATTGCTTGTTTTTTCTTTTGTGTCAAAGTCATTCACCCTTAATTCAAAAGACGCTTAAATGAACTCGATTTGGTGAAATGAATGACTTTGACACAAAAKATCRTACTGAGTAGACTTTGTTTACTAATGAGGCCGTACCTACCCCGCTTCCATGCAATTGTCCCTAGTCCCAACCGAGTTTGGAGGCCATTTATAAGAAAGGTCTATACATGATGTTACCAACTGCCTACCTCATAAGCTGTTTATTGAGCTCCTTCTGCTTGTTGGATGATCGAATTACCACCAGCCCATTGATTGTATCAGCTATATGATCATACATAGGACTGCACCGAACAGCCTCTAAACGCTTTAACTCCCGGCTAGTCTTCAAATTGAACCGACTATTGGCACAATGGCAATAACCATCCAAAAATTGACAGCTGCATTAAGAACTATTGCACCAGCAAAGTTAAGACAAAGCACAACCATCCTGGCAAACTGATCACGTAGCTTTTTGTCGACGCAACCAGTAATCCTTGGAAAATCAATTCATTATTCTGTCAACTGGGTTTTTGTCCATGAATATTACTGGAGATTTGAAAATGGGCAATGCCATTTTATCAGTGTCTGAAGGTCGCATGCGTCTATCACTTTGTCATATCTTTCTTGAAGAAATGGCCGTCCGAAAAGTATATTGTCTCGTATTGTTCCAGAAAAGATCCACGAAATCTGGCTTACATAAGCAATGCTGCCCATACCCTGAAACAACGCCAGACTTAAGAGGAATTTCCCCAAGAATTGCCATAAGTAATGAGCTTTTGCCACTACCAACTGCTCCACCGACCATAACGAGCTTTCCAGCAGAAGCTTTAAATGAGATTCCTTGTAAAACACTTTTATTTTCCAGACCGGACCAGGAGACAGAAACGTCTTTAACGGTAAGGTATTCTTGAACTGCATTCTTGAGCTCTTCATTGTGTGTATTCAAGCACCTTGCACTCAACAACAATGGCTGGTTTTTTCTCCAGCTAYCTAACCGTAGAATCTTTGGGAGAGCTTTACCATACATTTTTCGGACCTGATTTTGTAATTCCAAGTTAAGATTTTCCAGGAAGACGCTTTCATTGATAAATGACATGGGATGATCCTGATCATTTGTACTTTTCGAATCTGGCAACGATGTCAAAAATCGTTCTATTCTCTTAACAGCGACATACGCATCAGTTGCATCTTTTAATGCAGTTGAAAGGCCAACAGTTATAGCAAATCTTGCTATGTTTAACAAAATCAGTAAGGTGAATATACGAAATGAAGAAAGCTGGACCCCAGAATAGAGAAGGGTCATGATAGAGATGAATAAAGCTGTTGGGGTCGCTGTGCTGTACGATGCCAAAAAACTTGAAGCTATAAGTCCTCTGAGGCGAATATACTTCATCTCTTTACTGAAAAAAATAAAAGAATAAAAAGAAGAAGAAACAATCATTGAAGAACAAACGTTTGATTAAGAATAAATAAATGAGCGTGTTTCATTCTACATTTTGAAATTTGAGAGTGACTTCCCTTAATTGATAGACTTACTCGATTGTTTATTTTACCGCAAATTGTTAATTTCTCGTGCGCTGATTGGCTAATTCTCATCATTGATGAGAGGACAGACCAATGAGCTGACGTTGCGTCTATATTAAATCATGTGGAATTAGAATATATTTGACATATAGTTTATATTTCTCATATACTCACATTTGGTAAATAGGCTTTTTTTTATCCGGTGTGAGAAAATACAAAAGTACCAGTGAGCTATTCACATCTGAGTCTTTGTGTGTTGCTTATGCTTATGGAAAGCAAGTGCGAACCAGACATTGGTTTTTGGAATGCTTTGCATAAAAATTGTTGTTGCTTTTCGTTTTGTCGGTTTGATATTTTCTCCTTCAATGAGTTGCTGATTTTGGTTACGAAAGTTGTAAGCAAGCTTTTCCTTGGATTCTATCGTTCTAATGCAACATGCAATGGCGCCAGCTGATCAAAAGTAATTATAGATTAATAGCCGTTTTTTTCATTAGACTTTTATTACTAGGTATACCTACCCTCTTAGTCTTTTCACGACATCATAAAAACTCCATTCCCAAGCATGCATCTTTACAGCTCGGATCCCACAGATAACGTCATGCAAGACGGCCAGTCGTTTATCCGTGTAACTTGCCACCTTGTAGCGTAACTTGGAAAATTCTTTGGAAGCCAGAATATTGTAAATCAACAAGACCACGAAGTAAACGACACCTGATAATGACTGCCACCCGATGTAAATCCACAGCAAAGCTATTGTAGCTAAAATTTCGATGGGAGTTGTCAAAGCCAGTGAGAAAGCAACCACTGCATCTTCCATTCGTTGCGCGTCATTGGAGACCAGATTCAAAATATGTCCACTCGAGAACTTGGATAAATTACTGTGGCAGGATGAGATGCTCTGAAATTGAAATAAAAAGTTCAGAAAAACGGCGCGCGCACGTGTTGTGTGTGCAGTTATGAAAAACACGAGGGAGGTGTTAGGAGAAGTACAACGCGTAGCGAAGTGCTTCTCGACACTTCTCGAGTGTTCTACCAATCTCCAGTGCATTACAACTCCACACAGCACAGCAAGCRAGTTTTTTATTTCTTTTATAAAATATAAATTACGATAACCGTTATTTTAGGAATGACGCAACTGAAAGTGCGCGCGCGTGCTGTGTGCTCTCATAAACCACGCACTCTCAATCAATCAGAACGCGAGATTTATAACAGTTATTTTATAAAAGTACTGTGTCTTATTCATGGGCTTTGCAAATGTTGCCAGGATCCAGGATGGAGCGAATTGATCTTCGATTGTATTTGTACGAGTTTACGCAATAATCGTAAGCCACTGATCGATGTTGTTATYCAACAAATTTACCCACTGAATATAGGATTTATCGGACAGATATAGCGCTATCCATCCTTCGTGCAGCCGGCGCCAGGTGATTCAATTGTCCAACCTCACTGCACAAAAAATCAAAAAGCGCCCTGGGAAACAACTTCTCAAAGAGATTTATTATATTCCCTTGTGTTAAAAATACCCAAAATGATTCGAATAATTGTTAAATAAAGAATGTAAGAAAATCTAAAAATATTTCATGAAATCTAGTGTCACTTATTACCAATATTCCAGTGCATCAGCTCTGCCAGAGTAATCGACAAAACTGGTATTTAGAACAGAGCCAAAATATGATTTGTATGGGAAAATAAATATTAAAATAGCCATATCTCAGCTGTTATTTGACCGATTCTTGTCAAAGTTGGTGTGGAAACGTCTCTTTTGATTATCTATCAAAATTGGAAACCGAAAATATGATATTACCAATTTTAATTAATGACGTCATCACTTGAGTACTCTATAAATAAACCTTTATACGTCAGAAACAAGCAAACGCAGAAAATGCAGGATAGGTACGTGAGCCTATATCTCYATGCAAATGACGTAGTTTTTTACTACTTTATTATTATTTTTTAAATATACACGTGTTGGAATATTTTATGAAGCCAACAAGGTAACACCCTCAACGTTCCCACAATCCGGCTCCTGGCTTCGTTTTAGGCTTTTCTAAAAGCGAAGACCACATAGAGCCGATCTTAGCGTTACTAGCAAACGCACGGATATAATTGCTCYCGGTTTGATATGCTATTGACCGTGACTTTTTGGTAAAATAAATTAGCCTTAAAATAACCTTAATCTGTTGCTTAAAATGYTTTTCCAGATTCGACATCAGTTCATATGCTTGGTCGACAACAATTGCAGTATTTTTTATAATTAGTTTTCCATTTCTGAATAATAGAAAGATGTAAAATTCTTCAAAAAAAACAAAACAAAAAAAAACAAAAAAAAAACAACAAAAAAAACAAAAACAAAAAAATAATGGATTTTAATATTTTATAATCCAAATAGATTACTGTTTGGTTGAAAAAGGTTATCAAACGAAAACTAACAACGAAGACAAAAATGAAAATAATAATAATAATAATAATAATAATAATAATAATGTCACACGAACAAATGAATAAAAATAGCAATAACTCAATAACTTTAAGGTGTTTTACTAATGATTGTGAATTTTTGGCCAGAAGTTACAAATAGTTAAATCATAGTATAAAGTGATAGACATTTCATGTTTTCGATAACGAAAAAAGTAGTTCGATTAATTCGTTATTGAGTATCTTATAAACTTCGAGCATCGAATCGATTGTGAAAAACGAATCAATGACGTCACAGCTGACTGAGTTTTCATTGATTATGATTGTTATCATGGAAGTTTTAATGCACGATATCAATAAATAGCCTTACTCATAATTATAAAATCAACATTGGCAAGAACTTTAGCCTTCAATAAGTCATTTCTATTTTTAAGGAGGTCTACGATACAAGAAAAGATTTATTGTAACATGACTCCAGCAAAACKTTATCGATCAGTTCTGAACAATGATACCTTTTCATACTCACAAACAAGTGGATAAGAAATTAACTTAAACACCGTGTAAAAAAAAGTTTGTAAATGTACGTACTGACCTTTCGAGAGTTATCCTTTTTTTATTTTTGCTTTGATGAAGGAACTATTCGAAACGTCTTTTCCAATTTTTTACACGTTCTTTTTCTTTTTATTCACTTGCTGTATATATTCAACACACCAATGTAATCATTACCAATAATACTTACATGCAAGCTATGTTCTTGCAGTAATTTATCTTTTACCTTTAAGACGATAGGTGGTCCAATCACAATRTCTTTTACTTTGGCTATTTTTTCCTGACTGAAATCATGTAAGGTGCTCGTGACGTGACTGAATTTTGTGATGCGAAACTTTAATKATGAATCGTTGAGGTATGAATTAGGCACCGTGCATTATGCTTTGCATAGATTTCATCGCAGTTGATTTCATATCGGTTAGATCTGAGCTCTGCACCTAACATTTG